AGCCGTAAAGAGGAAGGAAATTTGGGCACACGCTACAACGTGGATGAACTCTGAGGACATTGTGCTAAATGAAAAGCCGCGTGCAAAAGGACATCCATTGTCCATGCGTCATTCCACAGATCTGAGGTCCTGGGGTAGTCAAATTCCCAGAGACAGGACGTGGAAAGGTTTGCCAGGAGCAGGGGAGTTGGTATTTAATACGGACAGAGTTTCAGTTTTTCAAGATGAAAAGAGCTCTGAAGGTTGGTTTTACAACAAGGAGAAGGTACTAAAGAATATGAAACAGCCCTTGCTGGTTTGGCTCAGTTGATAGAGCATCGGCCTGCAGACTGAAGAGTCCCAGGTTCAATTCCGGTCAAGGGCACATGCCCGGGTTGCGTTGCGGGCTCGATCCCCAGTAGGGGGGCGTGCAGGAGGCAGCCAATCAATGATTGTCTCATCATTGATGTTTCTGTCTCTCTCTCCCTCTCCCTCTCTGAAATAAATAAAAAATATATTTTTTAAAAAAGAATATGAAACAATACAGTTAAAAATGGTTAAGATGGTAAATTGTGTTATGTCTCTTTTACCACAATTAAAATTTAAATATTTATATTTCTTGAAATGAAGTATTTTCGTTTTTAAAACCTAATAATAAACCGACTAAATACCTACCCACACTAACACCTTCACTAGTCACCATTTGTTCCCATGTGAGTTGTTGTTGTTTTTTTTTTTAAATATATTTTATTGGTTTTTTACAGAGAGGAAGGGAGGAGAGATAGTTAGAAACATCGATGAGAGAGAAACATCGATCAGCTGCCTCCTGCACATCCCCCACAGGGGATGTGCCCGCAACCCAGGTACATGCCCTTGACCGGAATCGAACCCGGGACCCTTGAGTCCGCAGGCCGACGCTCTATCCACTGAGCCAAACCAGCTTCGGCCCCATGTTAGTTCTTTAATGATTACCTAATAGAAAAGTTACACTCACCGACTTTATTTCCAGATCACAGAGTACAGCAAATAGTGCTACTCTTCTCATTAAATATGTTATGAGTAGTAATATCTGTTGTCATTTTGTTTTGCTCCCAGAGGAAACATAACTATTTTGGTCGCTATTGCCCCCACTCCATAATAATATTACCTGAGGTTTGTATAGTGAGACACTTACAGCACGTTCTCTCATTGCTTCCGCGCTGCAGTAAACAATGTAGGTAACAGCCACCCAGCTGTGCTGCGACACCCACAGAAGGCTGGAGCGGCCGGGAGGGGGTGCAAGCAGAGACAGGACGCCGCGGGGACACTGCCTGGGACACAGTATCCTGAGAACTGACTTCCCTGGCAAAGCATGGTCATTGGGCTTGCTGTGGGGGTGCTAGAAATACCTCTCAGCTTCCTGTTAACTTTTATTCCTTAAAAAGGGCTGCTCTTTGCAAGGCATTTATTGACATGACAGGAGATCATAGTAGTTTAAGTGCAGCATCAACAGCAGGCCTTTCAGTGCCCATCAACTCACTGTGCTGATGAGTGAGATGGTAGGTTAAAGTAAAAAGTCCTCTCAGTGTTGCCTTGAGCACATCGCTTCCTGGCCTTTCTTTTTTCCTTTCTTTCTTTTAAATCTTTGTTGTTGAAATTATTACATAGGTTCTTTTTCTCCCCTAAGCCTCTTCCAGCCGCCTGGACTTTCTTATCGATTCTTGTAACGATGGAACCACACGGAATCCATGTTTCGGCAGTAGGAAATTTAGAAACATCCACTCCTTTGTCCAGCTGTCCAGGGCTTGAGGATATGCTGGTGGGCCGTTCTTCATTCTTCAGTTAATACGAACATTGAATCCTTTACATTCGAAGTTGCCCTGGAGGTTCTCTCTCTAGCCCAGCCTCAACTGTACCCTCATGCAGTCATTCTCGCACAACATTCCTGGCACCATACCTGCCTGAGACTAAATTCTCCCCGAATGGACAGTCACTACTCAGTGAGGCGGCTCTGGTGGTTACAGCTTTTCCTTAAATATTGGGCTAAAAAGTACTTCTAATTTCTGACCTTGTTTCGTATTCTGCCTTCCTGGAAGATGATCATCATTCCTTCCCAGAGTTGTCCCTTGTAGAGGTGGAAGTTCTTCTCTGATTTCTCTGTGACATGGTTTACAAAAGGCCTCTTGCCCTCGGTAGATTTAGTGTCAGACTCTGATCCTGGGGCTGTTTCCATTTGAGGTGCATCAGTGCGTCTAAGATGGCATGAGCTTTGCTGGCAGCCACTCCCTGCCAGGCCTGAAGAGCCTCCGGTCCTGGGTAACACCCAGGTGAGAGCATGACGAGGGCATCTGGACATCAGAGAAGAGAATGCCTCTGTGTGTGTGTGTGTGTGTGTGTGTGTGTGTGTGTGTGTGTGTGTTTGGGGGGCGGGGCGGGGGGGGCAGTAAAGGCTTCCTGGAGAAGCTGGCCTTTGAGAGAGACCATGGAGAGCTCAGGGGGTTTTGGCAGAAGTTGGTCTCCAAAGATTATAGGGGCAGAGGCTTCCTGTGCAGGGCTCAGAAGCAAGAAGAAGGTGTCTTATCGAGTGATGCTTCAGAGCACAGCATACAGATGCGTGAATGTCAGAACCAGGTTTTGCCCACCAGTAGGCCATGGGAAGCTGAAGATGTTTGAGTTTTTCCTACTTGGGTCCATTTTGGGAAGGTTAGACTTGGTGGAGTAGAGAGTGTACTAGAAGTGAAGTGACCGTTAGGAAGCTTTCATGGTAGGTTAGACCATCAGCATCTCAACCAAGAGCACTTAGAAGGATCATTTTCCCCACATCCTCACTTACACTTGATCAGTGTTACTAATCTAATGGGTGTGCATTGGTTTTTCATTAATTTGTATTCCTTGATTATAATGAGATTGAGCATTTTTTCATATGATTATTAGTCACACTCCTTTTGCCCAGAATTAAATATTTGTCTTTCTCTTGATCTGTGGGAGGTTTTGGTGGTTGTTGTTGTTGTTTTTATCCTTTCTAGTAATTACTCTTTTGATTATTTCAAAAAAGGATTTTTTAATATATTTTTTATCAATTTCAGAGAGTAAGTTTGAGGGAGAGAGATAGAAACATCTATGATGAGAGAGAATCATCCATTGGCTGCGTCCTGCACGCCTCCTACTGGGGATCGAAGCCATAACCCAGGCACATGCACTGACCCGGAATTGAACAGTGACCTGATTCATAGGCTGATGCTCAACCACTGAGCACATGGGCCGGGCTAATCTTTTGACTTTTAAATATTTGCTTATATCTTCTCCCAGATTTTCCCCAATCCTTTAACCTTACTTACAGTATATTTTTTATGCAAAAAGTTTTAAATTTTTGATGTAGTCAGATCTATAAATCATTTCCTTTGGGATGTATTCTATTGTTACCTTATTTAAGAAATTTTTCCCTACCTTGAGAGCATAGAGTTCCCAATGTTTTCCTCTATTATTTAGAGTTCCTATTTTGAAGTTTATGCCTTTATTCCATATTGAATTTATTTGGGGGCCTGGTATATGGCAGGAATCTAATTTTCTTTCCAGCCAAAATTCAGTTGGAAAGGCAGCCCTTTCCCTATTTCTGCTGTATACTGTCCCACACCTGCTGAGGTGTCTTTCTGGGTTCCTTCTTATCTCCCATTGATTAATGCATCTGGTCCTGTGTCAATACCACGTGGAATTATCTAGCATAGTTTTGATACCTGCTATGGGGGTAAGGCAAATCCTGTTGTCTTTGTTCTTTTGGTTTTATTTATTTTTGAAGTGATCTTACCTCTTTATGCCACTACTCTTTATGATGAATTTTAGAATTAGTTGGCCATGTAGCCAAGAGTGCTCTTGGGGTTTCCATTGGAATTACATTGAACTAATGGGTTGTTTGTGGGAACTGGCATCTGTACAGCATCGAGTTCCCTCATCCATGAACAAAGTATTTCCCTCCAATGATTCAGATCTTCTTTTAATGTCCTTCATTGAAAGATTATAATGGTTTGTATCTTCATTTCTTTTTTTATTTGTTGAAACGTCCAATATTTAAGTTCCAGACCACCGAACAACTATACCATAATAAAAACTATAATAATGAAAATCCCATTTTAAAGCAGTTTTGGGGTCTATCAGATTGGGAGGGTGGAGTTAGCTTCTATTTTGCCCTGTTGGATAATTCTCTTAGCAACAATAATTTATGCAAATGTGCCACTTGCCATAGCCAACCAACATCCTTGACTCAGGCCATGAGAGGCTTCTGCTCCTTGGGTGACATCCATTCCATCAGCACTTGGTCCAGCAACTGTTCACCCAAGAGTAAACCTACTAACTGCATTATGCCTGCATTTCCTACCCACAGCAAATTCTGAACAATTTCATCAAATGCTTTGCTTACCTCAAGAATCACTTTACCTGTGGCAGATTCCTTTCCTAATGAACCATTCTTGTTTCTTAAGATGGCTTTTAGCATTTTACCAGAAATCTGCATCCATATTTTTCATTTAGCATCCTGGAAGATTTTTCATCTCCCCACACATTTATTTGCCCATATTTTGTCTTCTCGGATTTTCCCCTTTCTTCAAGATTTCTCATAATTGACTAAAGTGACACGAGATCCAACCTTCGATTTCCCAACAGAGTGTTTGATCACAACAACATTTATATTAAAATCTCAACCTATTCTGCTCATAAGAAAATGAGCCGTCTTTAGTAATGCGACACTCTCTGTCATGTCACCGGAGTTGAGACCCACTTAGAAATCAGCACTCGGTGTCTGGTGAGGAGACTGTTTCTGAGCTTAAAAAGCATAGGAGACACCACATTTTTTAAATGCTGCACTGGATAAAAATGCTGAACTAAGCAGCCTCTAACTTGGCTGAACATCTAAGGCTTCTTATTTGCTTGTTGACCTCTGATCTGAAACTGGGGAATTGTAAACAGTTGCAGAAAATCTCACTGATTTTTCCCTTAACTCTGTGATGAAATGAAAGTTAATGATTTTGCTGTCATGTGTGTTTCTCCAGCTTCCAATTGTGGAAAAGATAAGGACCATTGCACAGGCTGTCTACGGAGCCAGAGATATAGAACTCTCTCCTGAGGCACAATCCAAAATTGATCTTTACACACAACAGGTAAAAGTTATACTTTTGGGGCGGAGGGAGGGGAGGAATCCACCTTAGGCTCTTGAAATATTCACCTTGACTTGAGAACTCATATATGTCTCACCAGCAGAACTTGATTTAATCTACTTGGTGCCCCACAGAGATTGAAATGCTATCCTTGGGTGTCGTGTGTTGACTGTAATTAGAACATTATATTTTTGAGATATGCAACGTTGACTTTTGTGGCTGTCAATGTGTCTAATATGGGGTGTGATCTTTAGTCCCTCCCACTCAGCTG